CATGTATAGATGCGCGGCTTAATTTTGACTTCGATCAGTACACATTTGTCCCCCACTACGCACGCACATGAAGTGAACGTGCGTGCTCTCCCACAAGGTCAATTCTCCTGTACGCGCACATTGGCAGGTTGGCAATTTGCCTACTCTGCTTGAATGGACGCTGAATTCGTGTAAAGCCCACGATTGTACAGATCGATTGCACCATCGTTTCACATTGTCTCGTCTCTCTCACCCATCACCTCCAAGAAGTAAATTCCCTCCAGCCCTGTGACCTGTGATCAGATTGGATCATTTCCCGCGATTTGCGGCACATGTAATCCCTCAACCCAACACGAGACTGTCCGATTACTGGCTTGTACTTTTTGTAATGCTCTTGCTGTCACGTCCTGCCCATCCGTGTGGTGATGGCACCCCTGCGCACCGGGCCTGTCTAAGACTCGCCGCAAGGTGTGGCTTCTCGCTCGGGTTAGCTGGGCAAGCACTAGGTCCCTTGTTGAGGCCGAACCATCCGATTTTTCGGGCCGGCATAGGACGAGAACAAGTTCTGTATATGTATGTTCTGTAATTTTCGTGCTCGTTTCTATCTTGACACGCGGCTTGCTTACTGGCTTGCAGACCGGTCACGTGTGTGTGTTTGTGTGCATATTGCAAATAGATCAGTCACTTAATTCACTGCGTGCCCATTCATCTGCATCAGCGGGACAAAACACTATAAAAACAGCCGATTTAATACATTTTATGCACGTTACAAGACAGCAGTGGTCACCGGAAAGTACACTATCCAAGGCACGAACAATGTAACCGAATGCCGGACAGGATAGAATCGTGTCAAGAGTTCAATCGATAGGTGAAAAGGTAACGTCAAACCTGATCATCATCGTCATCTTCATTATCATCATCATCGTCATCATCATCATCATCATCATCATCATCATCATCATAATCATCATCATCATATCTATACATAGAACTTACACCGGGCGGTGTTCGACACTGAATGGACTGAGGTGTTTTGTTTATGATGTCACATTCCTTTCGTCCGATCAGTACTCCAATTAGCGGTAAAAGTCGAGTTCCCGTGATATTCAGCAACGTGCCACCTGAGAGGGTACAAGTATTTTTGTTTGGTATTAACTGACCCACGCATATGGCCGCAATAGTGTATACTGAGGAATCTTTTTGAACAGAATATGAATAATAACAAACTGATAATTACTACCGCGAGCTTTTATATTGATCTATGAGATGAAGGGTAACGCTATGAGGGCAGATTTTCGAGGCATTTTAACCCTGAAGCGTTCAGTTTCACTTGCACAGCACAGTTTACTTGTTCAAGCGTATAAGAGAGAGTGGAATCAGAAAGTCTATGTTTAGATAAAACAAAGTGCAGAGTAAAACATCGACTGTCCTACGGAACTCTACCCTGTCATGTGCCCCAAGAAATTCTGGTTTAGAAAAACAAACAATCAACAGAAAACTAGCACTTACTCCTTAACAGACCCAGCTGTTGAGACGCGGATAGCAGCGGTCACCAGAACGGTGCTCCAGTAGACCATAGCTTCTGCAATGTCTATTTGTTTCCAATGTTTAACTTATTCCTATGGTACTATAAAAATTGGTAACACTGCAAAGGCTACGGAAACTGATCATTCGGTCTGAATGTGAGTTGTGTTCATATCTCATCGTACCTTTTGGTTCATGTTGTTTGTAGTTTTCTCTCGTGCAGATTTTCAGTCAACTCTTTCCTGTCTGTCAACAGTTTCAGCACCCACCCAGACTAAGCCCACTTCAGGTTGTTTACGGGGTACATCCGACAGCACACACGAAGCCAGACATATTACAGCACGAGTAGACGCTGCATTTTTAACAAATTCGTGGGGATGGTCTGGCCTAACTGAACACTGGTATCATTAAATCAATCATGTGTGCAACCTGCTCGCCTCTCCCTATCACTATCTACCCAACCACACTGTGAAATACCCGTACTTGTTGTTGTCACCTTCAGTTCGGACAGGAAACCAAGAAAGGGAGGTATTATCGGTTTTGAATATCCAGCTTGTATTTATTTATACCTCTTATCTACTCCCATTTTTCGGTGGGTACATAAGGTGTGCTGCATTAGGGAATATAGACAACTAGCTGCAAACAGGGTTCTTTTATGTTTTCCTCAACAGAGAAAATAATCAATAGATGAAATCTCGATAACCAACAAGGTGTTTCGAATACCAAGTGGCCTAATTTTCATTACGGTTTACCCGAATGTATTCTACATTTCTGCTGATGAGGCCAGAAGTCATTGCACCACCACCACCATCATCATCATCGTACAGCGAAATACATTGAGGCGAAATTCACTGATCGCTGTTAGAAATCGCAATTCATTCAAGGTTAGGGGTAAAATTTAAGGTGGACAGGGATTGAATCTATTTTGAGGGAGGGCGAAAAAGATGAACCTCGATGGTCAACACACAGAGTACGCAATCAAACTTTGCATACATACCGTTTCAAGCATGCTGACCTGATAAGAAACGACAACAAGTAAGCCATTGCTGCCGGTTCACTATCATATCCTTCAATGTCGCAACCAACTAGTTGTGGAGTTTTTCGGACCGCAACCTGGAAGGCTAGAGACACCTACTCTACCTAATGGCTCTGTGCATTTCTTCATCCATTGTCTCCACGTCATCTGTTGAGATCCATGTGGTTTCCTCCAGCTCGGATTAGCTACAGCGAATAGGACACGGTGCGGCAGACGACAGCTGGGCACGCGCAACACGTGCCCTAGCCAGCAAAGCCAAGTGATCTGAATTCGGTGTGCTAGCAGGTTTATCCCGGATAAACTCCCAAACATACGACGACTTACCTCCAGATTATTAACCCGTTCGCTCCATCCCTCACGATCCAAACTACGTAAACGCCGATAGTCGAAAACTCTTAGTCTACGGATATCTTCTACTCGCAACTTCAAGGTCTCACAATCATAAAGCAGAACTGAACGAACAGTGGCACTATATACACTCCCTTTCAACTTCAGTGGAAAGTCGCGTCTACGACAGAGGTGTTTCAGTCTTGCGTATGCTGCTCGAGCCTTGGAGATGCGAGCGGTTATCTCTTTTGCTACCGTCATTGGTCACGTATCCACCTAAGTAGGAAAAGCAATCCATCATAACTGATTCCTGATCATTTAGTTTCAGAGCGGGAATAGGCGAAACCCAGTCCTGCAGCATCACATTGCACTTTGAAGGTGCAAAGCACATACCGAATGTGACAACCGTACTTGTTAGTTTACCAAGTGCACTTTGCGCGTCCTGAGTACATTCGAACAGACGGACAATATCACCAGCGTACTCCACTTCGCACAGTTTTTTTCCAGCTGCCCAATCTAATACCTACGTTCTGGAGTCCATTTAGTGCGTTCTCCAGTATTTCGTCTACGACGAAGTTGAATAGGAACGGTGAAAGTCAGCACCCTTGATGAACGCCGCTGCTGGTGACGAACAGCCTACTGTAAACCCCCACTTGATCAGAGGTATGTGAGTAGAGTGACCTCAGTAGGTTAACGTAGTTCCTTTTCGGAGAAGGGAGCCCATCAGAGCTTCGCGGTCAACTAAATCGAAGGCTCCTTTTAGGCCCAGGAACACTGCAATCGTTGGTCGACGGCGGCTGTGACGCAGCTCAAGGATCTGACGTAACGTAAACATTTGATCAATACATTAACGGCCAGGGCGGAATCCAGCTTGCTGTTCACAGATGTTTATCTCTCTTAAAGTCGTCGGACGACGAAATATAACCAAAGCTAGCACTTTGGTGATGATAGAGGATCTAACTGATCCCGCGGTGGTTTTCCCAATGGCTGCGGAATCCTTTCTTGGAAATGGAAACGATTGTTGATTCACCCCAAAATGAACAAATGTGCTCTTGTGTTCAGATGTTACGCAGTAGGGTAGTAATAGAGCTTGCGAGGTGGTGGTGGTCACCCCCTCATCTTGAAAAGAGTGGGAGGGAGCTCATCTAGTCCTGCTGCTTTTCCGGGCTTCAGAGCTTGAATTCAAGACCAAACTTCTGCTTCTGCCGAAGAATCACATCATACTGCCCACGGAGCTTCAGTTGAAGATGAAGCAACCTGGTTAGCGACAGGCCAGCTGAACTGTTCGCTGAATTATTCTGCCCAGCAATCAGACCGTTCATCCCTATTGTGAGAATCTTGCACCATCTTATCGCCCTCTGTTTTACTAACTGGAGTTCGCCGACATCCCGTATTGCGTATCAGTAAGGACAGCCTTTGGCTATTCTCTGATGTAGCTGCTACTTCCATTCCACCAGCTATTATTGCCCACCACTTCTCATGGCCCTTCTTGAGGCTCTTCGTTAGCTGACGTCGTAGATGCCACCTAACTCTATTTTGATCCTGGCAAGTCGAGACTTGCATTTTTTTCTCCATGAAAACCACTGACTCTTCGGAAACCTCCGATGGGCGTGAGGCTCAGACCCACAAGTAACATTCGATGCGCAATGCATTGCCCACTTAATCTGATCCCACTGCTCATCGACATCCGCTGATATAGAATTTCGTACAATTGACGGCCGAAATCGGGAAAATTATTTTTTCCCCTCAATAATTCAGGGATAAACGTAAGCTGTTTGCGAAATCTTTCTTAAAAACTAAAGATGCGCTGGAAACACGCAATACATTTTACGAAGTAGCCAATCACGTTGGGATATATGTAGGCAAAAAAGTCAATGTGTTTTTAAATTGAGAATAATTAAATATTTTCATTAATCCTTCCAGTATCAACCTGACGTAAAACTCACCATTAATACCCCCCGAATGTGGCGTGAACTGCTCAATTCTGACATTTTTCTGTCTAAAATCCACGGAAAAACTGCCGTTCGCATAACCCCTACTCTCCACGTACAGTTGGAGTTCGATGCTACCGGCTGGAACTTGGAGGACTGAGAGGTTCAAAAATTTGGCTGAGGATGCTGTAACCTCGTACGCGTTGAATGTTTGATTCTCACTGTGTGCAATGAGACGGTTTTTGCCAGGTGTCTGTTGATCGAAGCCATGGCCATAAACTATCAGTATAAGATGGTCCATTTCTGTATGCAGAATGTTCAGAGAAGGAAGAGCGAGAAAATATAACTCAAAACACCACATGGTGGGCAAATTTATATGCTGTGATTTACTGGCCGGTTATTCATAGGACGGTTTTATCAATCAAAACTTCAGAATTTATAATGAGTTCCAATCAAACTGTGTGGACAGAATACACAATAGAACGCTTGCAAATGAAGCGCAAACTTGTTAAGTCCCGCGAGTAGTATGAGCGTTCAGCTCGAAACAACTCAACGGATGTTTAGGTGATCAGTAGACCAATAAAAGGCAATGGTCAGGGATCTGAAGGGAAACATTCGGTTACTACCTCATCCCGACTAAGACAGCTGCCTTAGCCTTCTGGTACTTCCCAAAAGGAAAAAGCAACCAAATGACTGTGCAATTGTGATCATCCTAGCCTACGGGTTGACGCAAACCACAGAGCGACACGTTACAGTTTCCGGACAACTGTGTCAACAACTGAGTCAAGCCTTATAGTTGACATCAGCAAAGCGCCTACGCCTTACAGCCCCTGGACTAAAAGCCATAGGCCGATTGTACCAACCGAACAGAATACGTGCGGCGCTGTCAGAAGCCGTAAAACGCCAGAAATATTAGCACAAGATTGGCAGAGGCTGAGATCACCAATGAACTTGTTTGTACATATTAGCTAAATCCCATGATTTCTTTCAATAAATGAACTGCCACTCCTGTGGAATTTTCCTCGTGACTCGGTTACGTGGGATAATGTCGTGCTAGTGTACCAGTGTTATCCAGTGCCTACATGGTGTCTGTGATTTCTGATACGTGATTCGTATTTCGTGATCAGTACCTACTTCGAATATTACAAAAATGTATCCATGAAATTCCTATGACCTGATTAGCATATTATGAAAACAACGCACATTCATGTAACTGGTGCAGTAGAAGTGAGTTAATTCATGAGTAGGTCAACTGTTGATTAATTTAGAGTGTTACGTTGCACGTGTTTAATTGTTCAAACATCAGATCGAGGTTTATCATAGTACATTGAGTCTAATTCGGGACACAAAGACTGTACTCATGCATCCCCGCTGGGCCATTTGGTAAAATGAAAACTATCAGAAGAGGCAAAGTAACCGATTCTGTCAACTATCAAAGCCATGGCAACCCTCAGCTAACCCAGAAAGCTATCGAAATTCGTTTCGTTTAATTCCTTCACATAAAAGTTATCATACTACTACGAGTAGTGTAGATCTATATTTGAAAATAATTAGAGGACTTCGAACGTCTCATGAGCGAAAAATACTAAATTCGGCGCGGTTCGCTTGCCATTGAGATATGTTAATTCATAAAACTCACTAGCTAAGGGATTATTGCATTTTTACAACTGTTAGCTTCAAGTACTTTCAACATTTGACAGTTCTGGCAAACTAAATCAAATAAGCACAGAATAACATGAATTCAGTTATTTCCGGTACTCTCAATCAGCTGCATACGTACAATGACAATCAAGGTTAAACAACAACAAAGGTTATGGAACAAATGAACACACCAATTGGATCAATCACAGGACAGGGGCAAAGGTCACACAGTCAACCACGGCGGGTGAACACATGACGGGGTTCAGTTCTATCAAGGCCACAAAGTCCAATTGTTTACACAAATTGGGTTTAAGCCCCTGTCCTGTGATGGGCCCAATTGGTGTGTTCATTTGTCCCATAACCTTTGTTGTTGTTTAACCTTGATTGTTATTGTACGTATGCAGCTGATTGAGAGTACCCGAAATAATTGAATTCATGTTATCCTGCTGAATTTTGGTTCTTCCTCGCCGTGATGAAATTCGTTAAGGTAACTGGATGTATGAAATAAGCACAGGTTTAATCGAAACTGAAGCAACGGGTCCCTGTGAAATATTTGTGGGTTCGTATAGACAACAGCATTTATACTGAAGTAATTTTTTTTCCAAATAATTAACAAGCCTTGATGAGTCTTTATAGCAGTAATTTTCCTGATTCGTGCAATTCTATTTCCGTCCTCTTCATTATTATAAAAAGGACTTTTGGTTTCCAGCGCTGCTATGGTGATAACAATACGAACGTTAAAAAACTCTGTACAAAACTGACCTTGATTTTAAGGTTGAATTTGATGAAGACGGTATTTCTCGAATTCAGTAAGTTAGCTATAAAACATAGGTTATTATTATTAAACCTTATTTAATGCTATTTCTCCGGGTGAAAGAATTTCATTTGGTTATTCAATAGAGTTTCTATAATGGATTATATATTGGATAAAAAGTGCCTCGTAACAAATAACCGGCACTGTAAGCGTTTATGGAAATAAGTTGCAATAAATATTGAACATATATTCAATTTATATGTATATATATATAGAATATAGAATATATTGTGTTTTTTCGACTTGATACAGTTTGCGATTCTCATTTTGAGATTATTTAATCTTGGCAACCAAAGTCAGGCACGTTTAATTGACAAATATGCGGCCTAGAAAATGTGTAGACCAATGTAAACAAGAGTTTAAATATTGTCCATACCACAGGCATTAACATAGGTCTTATATATAATGAAACTCAATTTGATCAGAAATAAAATATTTTAGTGCATCACAATAGGCCAGTACTGTATATCATTGTGATTTTAACGATATTCGCAGCGGTTTTCCTCTCACAACACTTACCAGTCTTTATGTCAAATGATTCGACAGCTGGTTGCAATTCTTCTTGGAATAGATGTGTACAATTCCCGATACATTTAGACGGGATCCGGTTCATGTACAATCGTACCTGGGTGAGAACGTAATGGAAACGGCAGTGGGGGTAAATACCACTACTCATTTGTTAGCAGCTGCGTATTGTTTCAACTTAGGTTTACGGAATAGAGCAGATATCTCAACTACATATCATCTGTTGGAAACTGTTTTATTCCTCGTACAATATTATCATATAGCATCATTATTTAGTTGAAAAGTGAATTCGTCACGTGGCACTTGTTAGGGAGAAACCTGGCATACACTTTCTTACACTTATCTCAGTTGGCTTGTTAAGAAGAACCATTGAGAAATATCATCAACGAGGCCTAGGAATTAAAAGTACGAGCAGATTACCGAGTTCTATTTCCGCTTCCTTAGGTTCTCGGTCATAGAGCTGTACTATCAAAAACATTGTTTATTTACAATTGACTTAAGAACAAGCATGATGCCTGTGAAAGAAGAGGATTTTTGTATAAATGAGGAAAATGTGGCAAAAGAGGAAGAGAATAAGCACAACAATGACCTTCTCTCCAAAGGAACCAGTATGGCATTGTGTAACGATTCACTCGTCAAGCAGTGGTGGATGGTGCCAACCGCGCTCAATCACCAGTCCTAGGAAATTAAAACAATTATTTCCCGAAATAAACTGGAATAAAGAACAGAATCACATCATCATTTTGTGGACAGCGCACAGATGCACATACGCATGTACCGACCAGAGAGAGAGAGAGAGAGAGACAGTTTGCAAGTGTGTGTGCTTGTGCAACAGAACCGGGTCCATGCTACACACCAAATTAATCTTCAACTGCTGATTGTAATTGCAGTCCTAAAACGGATGATTTGAAGATAAAAAGTAGCGGTAAAAGGGCTGATCTGGTAGAGGATTTGAGTAAAATAGTGCGGTGGTTACAGAAATGGAACATGCCACTAAACTTTTCCAACTGCCACCTGCTAACAACAAATATAGATCGGTGGCCTAGCAACACGCAAGGTGAGCTAAGCACAATCGGGACGGCTACCGTCGTGCAGGATCTAGGAGTCAGCATCATTTACGACTTCAAGCCATCCGTCCGGTGCCTGAAGGCATCTGGAAGTGCACGTCGGCAGTTGTTCGGGCTACGGAGGGCCCTGACATCCACCAAAACTGAGGTTTTTGTACCGCTTTACAAGGCTGTTGTCAGGCCGCATCTGGAATACTGTGTCCAAGCATGGTCACCGTATTTGCAGAAGGATATGAAATGTATTGAAAACGTACAACAAATAGCCACTAAGATGGTAAGGGTCAACGAAACGAGCCCTATAAAGAACGGCTAGCCTCCCTAAATCTGTTTTCCATGAAGAGAAGACGATTGAGAGGGGACCTCATAGAAACCTTCAAATGTGTGAAGGGTTTCAGTAATATCAGTCCCCAAGAGCTTTTCCACCCTGATAATGGGGATGGTTTGAGGGGTCACGAGGTGAAACTGAAAATGCAAAGAGCTCGATAGAACATTAGACATCACTTTTTCACAAACCGAATTGTGAATCATTGGAATAGGCTACCGGCGGAGGTCATATCTTGTGGCACTGTGACCTCCTTTAGACACCAGATAGACCGGATATGGTCGGATCTGTTCCCGGATCTATACTAGGCTGCACCCAAGATGGCAACAATGAAGGGGGTACTGAGGTGATACTGAATCCAGACACTTTCCTTCCTAACTTTTTCGCCTGTTTCCTTGGTAAATTAAGCTAGCATACGTTTTGGCCAGACTCCCTCTC